CCCCCTCCCTTTCCCTTGGACAGCCCTCCCCTTCCCCCCCTTCCTCGGACAGCTTTCTTCCTCCTCTTCCCCCTGCCTGTCCTTGGGCAACCTCCTTGGAACTCCGGTTGAAATTCACTGGTCTGTGGGGCCGCCCATTTGACAGACGAGCATGCTGAGGCCAAGGCACAAGTGAGTGACTCAGACCCGTGCAGAGGCTGACCCAGTGGCCGTACCACCAGGTTGTCCCTAATGCAAGAGAATCAGTGATGCGGCTTCACTGATCTCCAGGGAAAGCAGGTCGATAACAGGTTATAAACATGGGAACATTTTGGAAAAGCCGTCGTCCACCTGTCAGCTCCATCTCTCCTGCCCGGAAGATGTAGGGAGAACCTGCCTTCAGCCCACCCTCATCCCATAACAGGACAGAGGACAAGGGCAGAGACCCAAGTCCTGTCAGTGACCTCAGGAAACCCCCCATTTCCTCCTCACGGTGGAAGTGGAAACTATCACGCTGGATGATCTTCCCGGGGAGACCCTCCACCCTGAAAGCGAGGAATCTGGTTTGAGCACACACACATTCTTGGTGCCATCACTTTCTGCAGCTGAACCCTGCGTACGTGGCCCATTATTCTTGCTAGTCCGGTGTTACTGGGTCCTGGGAGTTTCTGTGGGCTGATGGCAAATGTTTACCATTGTGTTTAGAGAGAACAGAACTTTTTTGTGTCGAAATCACATGATAACCATTGCCATGTGATTCCTTGGGTTGATTGGGGCGGGGAATGCTCAAGCTTTTTCTGAGGTCTAAGTGCTTATTTGAGAGAGTCTCACTTTGTCACCCAGGCTGGAGTGCAGTGGTGCGATCTTGGCTCGCTGCAACCTCTGCCTCCTGGGTTCAAGCAGTTCTCCCTGCCTCAGCCTCCTGAGTAGCTGGGATTATAGGTGTGTGCCACCACGCTTGGCTAATTACAAAAATTTCTAATACAGGAAGGGTTTTGCCGTATTGGCCAGGCTGGTCTCGAACTCCTTACCTCAAGAGATTGGCCCACCTTGCCCTCCTAAAATGCTGGGATTACAGGCTTGAGCCACTGTGCCCGGCCCGATCCTGACATCTTTTAAAGCTGCCTTCATGTATCAAAAGCCAGTCTGTGTTTGAAAATCAGGCTTGTTGAAGAGCCTAGGAGGAGAGGGATATACTTCAGCTAGGTAAATAACTATGCATATGTTAAAAATATGGGCCAAAATCTACCCCAAATATTAACTCTTCTGCTTGGCGTTTTATATCCATTTATGGTTATTCTTTCAGTATTAAGATTTTTAAAGATTCTTTTGATAATTGTGGACAAACTACTATTAAAACTCAGCTGCATTTGTAACACTTTAAAGAACTAACGGCCGGACGCGGTGGCTCACGCCTGTAATCCCAGCACTTTGGGAGGCCGAGGCGGGCAGATCACAAGGTCAGGAGTTCGAGACCACGGTGAAACCCCGTCTCTACTAAAAATACAAAAAAATTAGCCGGGCGCAGTGGCGGGTGCCTGTAGTCCCAGCTACTTGGGAGGCTGAGGCAGGAGAATGGCAGGAACCCTGGAGGCGGAGCTTGCAGTGAGCCGAGATCGCACCACTGCACTCCAGCCAGGGGAACAGAGCGAGACTCCGTCTCAAAAAAATAAAAAAATAAATAAATAAAAAAATAACTAACTGATGACATTATTTTTCAAGGAGGCATTTTGGATAGTTACATAATTGTTTATCTCTTTGCCAGAAATCTTTTTTTTTTTTCCAGAACAGAAACCTGAAAAGAAACATTCCTTTACATTAAGTGCTATTTCACTGTGTGACAATCAAGTTTTGAATGTGAGAACAAGATCATCGTGTATTTTTGAGATAATTCTTGCTTAATAATGATGATAATACTAAGTGTTAAAATTATGGAACAGTTTGTTTCTTTGAAAATTACTATTTGCCTGCTCACCAGATGGGAGCTGATGAGAATGTGGATGTAAAAATTAAATTGTATTTAGCTTGTATAAAAGAAGTTTAAAAAAGCTTTGTTTTGTGCTACTACTGAAGTTCCTTAGCTGTGGAAATCAGGTTATTGCAGGCACCTAGAATTTGATCTCCTTCACTTCCACGATGGGAAGAAATTCTCCAAGAAGCACAGGAATCTGACTTTCTGATATTGAGACTCCTAGGCATCAAGCCCCATGGAAGGGGTGGTGATTACATGAGCGTTGGCGTTGATGTGGGCATCCTCCAAGCCGGACGCAGGGAGCAGGGAAGGGCAGAAAGAACAGACCCCTCAGGAGCCATGAGAAAATAAAGTGTTGGCAGCAGTGGTGAGGGTTGGTGTCAGGGGCCAGGAAGAGGTGGCGAAGGGGGAACATGTGCCTCAAGGCAGCCCTGGAACCCGCAGTCCCTGCAGTGAGGTCTCATCTGCAGGGGACATGGACGGCCAAGCGGCAAGGCCCACAGACAGCCTGGACTTGGCTGCCTCAGAACTCTGGTGGACTTTGCAAACGGCCCCACAGGGTTGCAGTGCACATTCCTCGGACAGAAAGAAGACGCTTGGAACTGTTCCCGGCACGGAGCCAGCACCCTGTGAACAGTGGCCGCTGCTGTCGTGACTGAGTGCCGTCCAACTGGGGACATTTGCTCTGCTCAGTTCACTGCCTTCAACAAGCTTGACGCATTGAACGAGGGCTCAGTCGATAATGTACTCTGTAAACACGCTCTCCCGGCTAGAGTGAGCAAATCCCAGGGAGCGGGTGGTTCTTCAGTATTAACCAGGTGTTTGTGGTGGGGCCAGCTGTGTGGCTGCCAGAGCGAATGTGACCGCGAAGCCTCTGTCCCCCCCGAGGTGGCCAGCGTTCCTGTTACACGTGCCATAGGCAGAAGGTGGGCACTGCTGGGGGATTTGCTCATGTTCCTGTTTTCTGATTGGAAATTCAAGGTTTCTGAGCATCCTACGTCAAATTTGTACATTGCTGAGACTTGTACACATTTCAACGCTTGTTTTTTTCTGCTTTTCAGATCTATACAACCTGGCATTTGGCCGTGGCTTTCAGGACAGGCGGGATGCAGAGTGAAGTCCTCTCCTCACTGTCAATGTTTGCAGATGTCTTCTTGTATAAACTTCGTATTTCTTGAGACACTCAATTAGGTTTTTACTTAACTGGACTTTTAAAATTGCCATGCACATAACTCTACCATTTACAGTCGTGAGCTAACATGGGTTTTTGGTTTTACTTTGATGAATGTTTAACATTTGCATGCTGGATGTGGGGGTGGAGGTCATTTATCTGCTTTTCATTGCCTTCTTGGTTATACTTAGTGACTTTCAGGTAAGGTGTGGAAGGCGTGGTACAGGGTGAATTGCAGGCCGCACTGTGGCGCCGTGGAGGACAGGCGCGGGCTGCAGTGGTGTGCACAGTGGATGAGAGACAAGAGGAGACTTCCATCCTTGAGGGAAACACACAATTTAAAAAACTGATCATCTAGCTTACATGAGGTCCAACAAATTCAGTTTGCAAAGTTTAACTTCCAAGTTAATTTAGTAATTTTTCCCCTAAGTCATTAATTTAGTAGCTTATGTTTAAATATATTTCTTTTGTCTAAAGGAAGTCATAAATTCTAAAATGAATGACTAAACATGTAATAATTTAGGCATACAGCACCTGAAGGGAAAACTGCTAGTATGCTAAAATATTGGATACAGATGCTTACAAAATATAATGTAGCATTCTTACAATGCATGTGCTCTTAGCGTGTAACTTGGTGAGTAGTTTTGAACTATATTTGTGGGAATGTGTATCTTGAATACTTGAGGCTACCACTGCAGATGTGTGCGTGAGATGTATAAATACTGAATGTTATTCTCCCTTCCCTTAAATGAAAAACATTAGCTCCCTTTTATTTTTATTTTTATTTTTTATTTTTTATTTTTTGAAGTGGACTCTTGCTCTCGTTGCCCAGGCTGGAGTGCAATGGCACAATCTCGGCCCACTGCAATTTCTGCTTCCCGGGTTGAAGTGATTCTCCTCTCTCAGCCTCCTGAGTAGCTGGGACTACAGGCACCTGCCACCACTCCCAGCTAATTTTTATATTTTTATTAGAGATGGAGTTTTGCCATATTGGCCAGGCTGGTCTTAAACTGACTTCAGGTGATCTGCCCACCCCGACCTCCCAAAGTGTTGGGATTACAGGCGTGAGCCACCGTGCCCAGCCAGCTCCCTTCTGTAATGATTTTTTATAGAGTTGTTTTTGCTTTTTGCTTTTTTGAGACGGGGTCTCACTGTGTCACCCAAGCTGGAGTGCAGTGATGCAAATCTAGGCTGACTGCAGCCTTCACCTCCTGGGCTCAGGTGATCCTCCCACCTCAGCTTCCTGAGTAGCTGGGAATAGACACATGTCACCACGCCCAGCTAAATTTTTTTTTTTTTTTTTTTTTTTTTTTTGTATTTTTAGTAGAGACAGGGTTTTGCCATGTTTTCCAGGCTGGTCTTGAGCTCCTGGGCTCAAGCGATCTGCCCGCCTCGGCCTCCCAAACTGCTGGGATTACAGGCGTGAGCACCACATCTGGCCCATTTTTTTTTTTTTTCCTTCCAGGATTAGAAGTCGACTTTCAGAAAACCCTTCAACCTTGCAAACTTAATTTTCCATAACAATATGCCTCAAGGATAAAAACAAGACAGAAAGAAAGTATGTGTGGACTGCAGTTAAAAATTTTCTACACAACATAGCTTAGGAGAGTTGACATTTACAAAGAGCAGGAGGCCCCTTCAGTGCCTTCTAGGCATTGGGAATGGCGGTCTGTGGGCGACCCTAACGTGTGCGGCGTCCTGAGACGTGATCGTGGTGCTCACGCTTTTCCCGAGGGCCCACCGGGAGTACCAGGGGCTCTTCTGCAGTCGGCCAGCCAGGCAGCAGCTGCTGGAGAAGGAACAAACAGTAAAAGACAGATGTACATGGTGGTGTTGTGGCAGAGAGGTTAAAACCAGGCTCACTCTGTTCTTACAGTTCTAAAAAACTAATAATGAAGTCCTTGAATATGTATTGCATTTCAGGATTTTAAAGCGGTTATGGGTGTGTCTGTGTGTCTGTCTAGCTCCCGGGTGCTACCTGTGAAGAGAGCTCAGAGACGCCACCTTTCCTTGCTGAGGTGACAGGGTCTGGAGAGCTGTGAACCCCGTGGTGAGGGGGGTGACTGACCTAGGGGGAGGCTGGGTCAGCGGTGGGGATCCACCCCCACTCCACGTTCCTGTAGGGAATCCACAGTTCTAAGTCTTTATGATATGGGTAAAATGAACCTGGAAGAGGTGTTATTTTTTTAAGAAGTAAGTGCCATGCTCTTTTTTCCTCATACTTCCCCATGTTTAAGCAGCATTGAAGGATAAGGCACTAGTAGCATGTTGGTTTGGAAACAATCTTGTTGGTTATTTTACCTTGAATCTGATATTAAGGTTGCCTGGTAACAGAAGTTTTCCTTTAATAACATGGAACTCTGTTGAATCTGTTGCCCCACTGGCTGAGCAGTCTGAAGTCAGTGCCCTGGCAGCTAAAGAGGCCTTAGAGGAAGGCCTTGGAGGAAGCCGCTGGATGGACAGGAGGCACCCCCCTTGATTGAGGGAGAGAGGTGCAGTTTGCAGGGATCCCACGTGGCACTTGTGGCTCTCTCCTGCCCCCTGCTGGCTGCCAAGCAGCCTCGCCACAGTGTGCTCAGCGTGAATGTTCATGGGGCAGGCCAAGGCTTTTGTTCCAGAAACAGACTTCAGAAGCCGCAGGCTGTGTGTGTTGAGCATGGCAAGAAAGACTTATGTGTGGCTTAAACCTCTTGAACAAAGCAAGTTGATGTTTCAAACGCATCTCCAAGGCTAATGACTTTGCTATGGTCAATATTCAGGAGAAAATAGGGTTTGATGAAATAGAAGCACAGGAGTGGCAAGTGAGGTGCTTGTGCCCCGTATGACTAAGCAATGTCCTGGCCGTTCCACACCATGGCCTCTGAGCAGCCAGCGTGTAGATACTGGGTCAATTTAGATGGGACTCCTGGAACTGTCGGCCGTCCAGGAGAAGTACGAGGAGTTGTACCTATGATCATGGTTCCCGCTACTGTGTCCAGCAATGTGCCGCGTTCCGATTTCAGCATCAGGGCAGACACAGCCCTGAACACTATCACTGAGGTAAGTCCCAGTGCGCCCCGCCAGGCGGGCGCCCGCTGACGCTAACCCGATGGCCCCGGCCATTATTATCTACCAGTGCGCTAGAAACAGCCTTTTACAAATACCCTGAATGAGAGCTTCTCGTTCTTTTCTCCCCCCTGGAAAAGTAGGTTTTTAGACTGAACATTTTTGATCTCACTCCCAAAAAAGTTTTATCGCCTTTTCTGTGTGGCCACCGGCCCAGACTTAGCGTGGCCAAGACCCCGGGTGTGCCTGTGAGTACCTGCAGCACTGAGGATGGCTGGGCCACAGTCTCCTGTGATTGCACCAGCATTAATCGCTGTTTTTTTTTTTTTTTTTTTTTTTGGATGTTGAGCCTAAATTTTCTTTGAGCCTCCAATTCCCATTATGAGGAACCCCTACCTTGATGCTGAGGGTAGAAATTGAACTGAATGTTTTATAATTGTAGTCATTGTCCTGAACGCACCATTGCATTTGTTATCTCTTTGGTCTTGGCTGTTGACCTCATTTTCCCCTTTGTAAACTGGGGATGTTAAATTACATCTAAGGCAATATTGGGGCTAGTTTAGTTTTTTTTGCCAAGAGACAATACTGAAACATACTCTTCTGTTTGTTTTTTTCTTTGTGAGACAAGGTCTTACTCTGTCACCCAGGATTGAGTGCAGTGGTGTGATCTCGGCTCACTGCAGCCTCGACCTCCTGGGCTCAGGTGATCCTCCCACCTCAGCCTCCCGAGTACCTGGGACCACAGGCACATACCGCTATTCTGGGCTAAAAGAAATATATGCCTATCCTCATGTTTGTGTGTCACACTTGGTGATTCAGGTGGGAATCTGAAGATCCGTACCTAACGCAGGAAGCATTTCATTTTTTAAAACTTGATGTCTAAAATTTTCCAGAAATTCTCAAGTTTTCATTTTTCTTGTGCGACTTAGTTCTCACTAATATTTTTCAAAGTTTTTTTTTTTGTAAACCCTTGGCATGCAACTTATTTCTAGCACTGGTAATTAAAATAACAAGCTTTTAACATACAGCTCAAATGGTTAGAAATGCTTAGCACTCGTTTCTTGCTTTTCTGAGTGTCTTAAACTTCACTTTCTTTGTGAAGGAAACCTGCCCAGGTTTTCCAGTGTTCACTGGCTTTGGGGGCAACTTTCACCTTATTTTTGGCAGTCACTAATCTCTGACCTAGACATTGCTTCTGTAATCCTAGTGACGGGCGTCACAGCTTTGCTGCTGTGGGTCCAGCCCAGCTCTGGGCTGATCTTCACGCTGGGAACGTGAACATGAGTGTCTGTTTCACAGAGGGAGGATTCCAGCATGGCTTTCACTGCTCTTTCACCAGCTTTAGCTGGATTTTTGGGTCTGTGAAAGTTGGGTGTGCAATGGGAGGGAATGAAGCTTCTTTTTTCCCTAATCGTTACCTAATTGGCACTTGCCCAGAGGGAATGGGTGGAGAATTTGAGAGCAGTCACTGCAGTTAGTTGAGCATCTGAAGATGTGGGACAAAGCTGGTGTTGATCTCCCTGTGACACTTTATTTTCAAGTTTCCACACAAAGCATAGATCCTTGTGGTATGTGATGTACACTTTCATTCAGGAAGAAAATCTCTCTTTAATTCCAGCATCCTCTGCTATAAATAACTTTTTTTTAGATTGTAAATATGTAATAAATGCGTAGGGTCAAACTTTGAAAACCAAAACACGTGAGGCAAACACCTCACAAATGGTCAGTTCCACCCGCTTTGAGGGACTGTGTGATTTATTATGCGATTGTTTTAAATTCAGTTTTTCATTCATTCGAGTTTGTGAAAGCTAGGTTAAAAAATTTTGGGTTTTTTTTTTTTGAGACAGGGCCTCACTCTGTTTCCCAGGCTGGAGTGCAGTGGTGAAATCACGATTCACTGCAGCCTTGACCTCCCAGGCTTAGGTGATCCTCCCACCTCAGCCTCCTGAGTAGCTGGGACTATACGTGCATGCCACCGTGCGTGGCTAATTTTTTGTATTTCTACAGAGATGAGGTTTCCCTGTGTTGCCTGGGCTGGTCTCAAACTTCTGGGCTCAAGCAATCCCCCTGTCTTGGCCTCTCAAAGCACGGGGGTTACAGGGATGAGCCACTGTGTCAGACCTTAAGTTAACTGATTACAATAGAGAAAGAACTGGAGCGTGTAGTTAGTTGAGCCTCCCGTTGGCCAGGCACAACCACCTTAGTGTGTGTGTGTGTGTGTGTCCTCATTGCCCTTCTGATCCTGAGCTCCGAGGAATGAGGCTGTCTTGGGAGTGCTGTGGTTCTAGTCTCGTGATGGGTGAGTGACACCGGCTGAGCTGATGGAGGTCACCCTGGCAAATGCTGCAGCTGCTCAGGAGTCGGGGCAGGGACAAGAAAGCCGCCAAGGATCCCTCTGTGGACCCCTGAAGGGAGAGGGACCGAGATGTGGACATGGCAGCTGTTTTCCCCAGAGTCCTGTTTACTGACGGCCAAACAGGCTGAATCCTGAGAAGGTTTGAATTTGGGTCTGAACTGGGCTCGTCTGGCCGTAGAACAGGAGCTGGTGGCGAACTCAAAAAATGAGGGCATGAGGTGACTTGACGTGGGTGACTCCGGGTCACTCCACGCACTGTCCTGAAGCCATCAGAGGCTGAGGACGTGTGGGAGTGAGCGTCTCTTCCCTGTCTGGCCACATACCCTCTGTGACCCGTGACTCCTGGCCTGGCCCTGGGCAGAATTTATGTTTGGGGTCTGGATGGCTCCAGTTGTTCAGTCAATTTGGTGATTCTCATGGGGTGATTGTGCCCCAGGGGATGTTTGCACCGTCCAGGGAGGTTTCTGGTTAGAACTGGGAGAAGGGATGCTTCCAGCACCTGGGACTGGAGACAAGGGACGCTGCGGAAAGTTCCTCCAAGCACAGGGCGAGCTCCATAGTAGGCGTCTGGCTCAGGACGTGGCCATGTTGCGCTTAAGAAGTCCTGGGTGGATCTGATGTGGTGAAGTCGTCATCTGCTTTGGACACGTGCGTCCTCATCCTCATCCTCACTGATGATTTGCTTCTTGCCAGCATTGATGCTTAGCTGACGCCACAGCCCCTCAGAATCTATGCGATGCTGGCGAGTGGGTCTTCCCGGCAGAACGGAATGAATGAAATACCTCAGAGCAGGTGTTACACATTCTCAGGACATGGCTGCAGGGAGTTTCCATTGGACTCCTTTCATTCCTTAGCGCTGGCTGGTGCATTACTCTGTCCTGTAAGCTTGATCAGGTCACATCAGAAACACAGTAGTTGGGTGCCATGCTGCTGTCAGGTGTCATGAAGGTGGCGGTGACCACAGCCTTGTAATTCCTTGTCATAGTGGCCCCACCACAGACCCAGGGGCCCGACTGTGTTTGGTCTTGAGAGTTTTATGCTTTTCTGGGCAGGGTCTCCCCTGTCTTGAATCTTCCCTGCCCTTTTTTGGAGACTGAAGGAAGGGAAGAGGGGAGAGAGGATTTGCAGCAATGTGGCCATTCCCACAGATTTCAATGTGGAGTTAAGGAGCTGAGACCCCCCCCACCTGCCCTCAGGCCCCTCCTGGCCCCGGGTCACCCACACCCTCTGGCTTCCAGCAAGGGCTTCTTGGAGAAGCAGCCAGCTCCCCGCAGCCAGTCTTGGTCCAGCCAGTCTTGGTCAGTCCTGAGCTAGGGTATTCCACAGTAAAGGAGTGACATCACCTGTCTGAAAAGCATAAGGAGCCCCGCATGTGGTGGTCCTGAGGGGGCCACATCCTGGGCACCAGGCCAGTGAGTATCCCCAGATGAGTGTTTCTGGCTGGGAAGCAGGCTGGCATTTGGATTGAAGTCCTGCAAAAACTGCCACGGCCAGAGCCTGTACAGAGCAGCCCAAGAGCTGGGCATATGCTGGGCCTGGGTGGATGTGGAGGCTGTGCCATGGGGGCACGGGGGCCCCTGCTCACCGCTTACCTCGTGGTCACCCAGCACTGACGCACCCACCTTTCCCTCCTACCCACCACGCTGTGAACTCACCTGCCACGGATCTCCGCTCACTGTCCGAAGCCCTCTGCCCACACGGGCTCCCGGCCTTGGGATGCTTTGGGTTGCACCAGGGCTGCAGAGCCTGGGTCGCTCACTGTCCAACTCTCCCGGGGAGATGTGGGCCCCGCCCTGCGTCCCAACAGTAGCATTTCTGCAGCAGATGTGGGGATATTCACAGGAAGAGGGACACGTCCAAGTCCATAAATAGTTGATTTTGCCACCAAGTGGATGACAAAACACCTTGCTGTGTGGGGCCGCTGGGAGGTGGGAACAGTGGGCGTGTGGACCTGTCCGGCTGTTACCTTGGTTAACACCCTGAGGTGGAGTCTGAAAAACCCCGGTGCACACGGGCTCGAGAACCGCTCCCCTTTCTGACACCAGAGCCCATTTCCCAGTGGAACCCCAGAGCAGCAACTCAGGTTCTTGCTCGCGTGTGTGGCTTTGTGTGCGGCTTCCCGAGGGCAGAAATGGCAGCCTCCCGCCGGAGAGCAGAGATGCGGCCCGGGGCTGAGTGTGGCCCCCCGGTAATCCAGCTGCCTGCCTCCTTCCCTGCCTGCGCGCGGAGGCTGCCTCTGCACGATGACGGCTGGTCACTTGGTGTGGTCCTTACAGCTGTGGGCCCCATCCCACTCATCCTTGCCTGTCTGCAGAAAGCTACAGGACTGGCTTTGCCTTTAAACGTCCTGGCCGCCCTGGCCTCCCTTACCCACAATGAGATGCCGAGAGCTGAGCTGTCCCGCTCGTGACTAACTCGCCACTGCCTGCAACCTGCTCTGCTGCTTGCCTCACACCCACCCTGCTGTGCTGCCTGCAGGCCTCCCCTTTCATGAGGATCTGGGCTGTGCCCAGGTAGCCCCCTGTGTCACTGAGGCCTGTCCTGCTCCTGCATGACCTCCAGAGCTCCCCTGGGCCCCTTGACCCGCATGAACGGGCTTCCCCTGGTGACTCGGGCCCCTCCTGTCGCTTCCTGGACCTCAGCGCAGGCCCTGGGGCTGGCAGGTGAGCACCCAGCACCCCCGCTAACCGCTTGGCCCTGCTGCTTCATGCTTACAAGAGTGTGTGCGACATGGCCAAGACATGAGGCCACCACCAGGAGCTTTGCATCCCCCGTGTGTGGTGCCGGCCACGATTAGCAACAATGTCCCGGGGACAGAAATAAGCCTGGGCACGGACACTGGCCTGAATGCTGTTGTCCAGGTAAGAGAACCCCGTTTCCTCCCATTGCTTTCTTTCCTTTATTTTAACAACTTGTTTCTTCTGTGCTAAGAATGAGCCAGATTTATTATTACTCTTTCCCCCCAACCCTTTGCTAGCTTGGCTTTATGTCAGTCACACTGGCCAGAACGGGGTAAATTTTTAGCTTCTCTGCCTTAGGGAGAGCCTGTCTTTATTGATTGAAAGTAAGATGATATATCCAGTTCTTGGGGTCCTGTTTCTATGCCACCTAGAGTAGGGGAGCGTTAGCACCATTTCTGTGGAGCCTGCCTCTCCTGCCTGCGTTGACTAGCGAGGCTGCAGGGCCAGCTGTGGGAGCCTGCAGGAAGGGGTTTGAGTGCCTGGTACCTACGAGCTCTGGGACAGAGCCGTGCCTACTGGGGGCCGCTGTCTGGAACCATAGCCTTCCTGGTGAGATGAGAGGTTCTTTAGAGAGCTGAAATCATGCCCTCCTCGGCAGGCAGCTTCACCAACATGTGCTGTGGGGGGAGTGGATTCTGCCGGTCATGGGCGTGGTGCTGACACCCGCATGGTGGCCCCTCCAGTCCCTGATAAGCTGATCCACCTCTATGGTCAGGTAGTTCCACAGGCCTTTGCTGCAGAGAGGGTCCTCACTCAGCTGCAGATGGCACGGTGGCCACCTTGGCACGTTGGGGTCACGTCAGTGGCTTGGCCGCCTGGCGCCTCCTGCAGAGCAGCCGCTGGCCTTTACCTTAGATGTTCACATCCAAAAGGGCTCCAGAGTTTGTGATGAAAACTCCCAGTCCTGTTGAAGACTCCTTAGTTCAGCTTGGCACAGAACCTCGGAAAACAGTAGTTCTGTTCCGGGTTCTTCCTTCAGAACTGATTCCCAGTGCAGGGAAGGGAGCAGAGGGGCCGTGAGGTCAGCTGAACCCTCCTGTGCCTCCCACTCGAGCTGAGGGCCATCTCTCTCCTGGGCTTTTCCCTGTTGCATTCCCTAGTGCTGTGCTGGCCTTGCCGAGGCTGGCCCCGGCTCGTTTCCTGGACTTCCTTGGGCCCCACGCTTGACTCCTGTTCGTTGAATGCCATTAGGGTCTGGTCATCGCTGGCTTCACTCTCCTTCAGCACCTTGTAGATGTCCACACGTGCTTCCACCCTCGCACCCCGCACGTGGTGCAGCATTACCCCCGGCCAGCCAATTTTTTGGTCAGACACTGTTTATCAGGCCGTCATAGGAGATTCCATAGAAAGGCCACAGGTCGAAGAGGCTATTACTCCCAATATCGCAGGGGCCGTGGCTCTACACCCCTCCTGTGATATTAATATCCTAGGGAAGAGAGGATGATACTACACCCAATATCACAGGGGGTGTACCCCCACCCAGTGATACTGTTCTTAATGTACTCCACCCCCCACCACCAGGGATATCGTTCCTTATATCCAGGGGAAGAGAGGATAACATTATGCCCAATATTGCAGGCCAGTGTACACACCCTCTGTGATGTTGTTCCTAGTATCCAAAGGTAGAGACGATATTACTGACCATATCGCAGGGAGTGTACACCCTTCTGTGATGCTGTTTTTGACATTCAGTGGGGGAGAGGATAACATGAATCCCAATATCGCAGAAGGTGTACAGACCCCTGTCATGTAGTTGCTACTGTACAGGGGAAAGAGAAGAATATTGCTCTCAATATCGCAGGGGGTGTAACCACCCTGCCCCCCGAATATTGTTCCTAATATGCACCGGGGTGGAGGCTGATGGTACTCCCAATATCTCACAAGGTGCACACACACCTGTGATACAGTTCCTAATATCCAGCGGGAAAGAGGCTGATCTTACTTTCGGTATCGCAGTGGGTGTACACCGCCCCCAACCCTGGGATATCGTTCCTAATATCCAGGTGGGAAGAAAATGACAGGGCTGACAATATCAAAGGGGGTGGACAATTCTTCTGTGATATGGTTCCTGATATCCAGGGGGTTGAGTGGACGATATTACTCCTAATAAAGTAGGAATCGTACAGCCACCCTGGGATTTTGTCCTTAATAACCACAGGGGAGAGGTGATATTACTACCAATATTGCAAGGGGTGTACACCCCTCCTGTGATATTGTTTCTTATATCCAGGAAAGGAGAAGATGGCGTTACTACCAGTATTGAAGAGATGTACAACCCCCATGAGATATTGTTCTAAAGATGCAGGTTGAAAGAGGTTGAGATTCCATCCTATATAACAAGGGGTGTACACCCCGCCTGTGATGCCCTGTGCATCATGCACAGCTCGTAGCAACCTAAAAGACGAGAACTAACTTGCTTGCTTCCAAAAACCACGGTGTTACCCCCACCCTGTGATATTTGTTTCCTCGTCTCAAAGAACGAGATGATGATGCTACTCGCCACTAGAACCGGAGACAGGTACACACCCTCTGCTGCTATTGCTCCTCACATACTTGTGGCGAAGGCATGACAGCTTAACTTCAGTATGCCGTGGTCTTTGACCGCCAGCCCTGTGACATTGGTTCTACCACACCAACTCTCGTGCCCTCGTTCCCATGCGTTCTCTCCTCACTATTGGGAACCTCTGGGTCGGCGGTGTCCTTCTTGGTTACAGATGAAGACGATAAGGTCTGAGAGGTTAAGTAGCGTACTGACAAGGGGGTCCGATCAGACCAAGACCGGGTTTTTGCGATTCTCACCAGCGAAAGCATTCGGGCAAGTTTCATAAAGCTGAAAGCAGGTTTATTAGAAAAGAAAGAATCTT